CACAATGAAATAATAAAAGAATGTAATAACACAATATCACAACTATGTGTGTGTGTTTTCTGATTTTCTATAAATGATTATTAAATAAATAGTTAAATATTAATTATATTCAATCGAGGGGGTGTTAATAAAATGAAACTTTACGAGCTTCGTATTAACTTCTTCTCCTCCTCCTACGATCACCATCGAATTCAATTCAATAAAACGAGACAAAATTGATCTGTTCTTTCTCGCTTCACGAACTTTAAATCGTTTCCTCGAAATCGCATCTTTAATTCTACTTTATGGTTACCCCTAAATCGAACTTTTACTTTCATCTCGAGGCCACTTTAAACGACACCAAGGATTGATGACAACGAAGAAATCGGATACATTTCCAAGTATACATAACCGAGGAATCATTTAATTCTCATCAAACATCCTAATTGTAACTTACGTTTCTATTTAACATCAAAATCCAAATTTCAATTCCATTATAAAAATATAAATATCCCATAAATAATACAAATAAAAAAGAAAATAAATTGTCTTTAATATTGTTCAAATATCAGGACTAATTTATTGACCTAAAATTTAACCCATCATCATCTCTAGTTGGTTAACTCGTATCCAATAAAAGTCAAGTAGAATCGTTTCGTCTAGTATTATCATTTTAACGGTATATATATATATATATATATAGGTATATATATATAACTACTCAATAGGTTTTATCCGTAAAACTTAACGTGTATTGGTAGAACAGGATAAACTCTCGAAGGAAAACGTGTCATCGTTACCTTACCGACCATATCGATTTGCTCGTGTCGCCGGCAAACGATTCGATACAAATAAGGACACGAACAGACAGGTCGGTGCACTTATCTGTACTATACACTCTTCTAAGTTTACGTTTTAGAGTATACGTTAGTGTTCTCTCTTTCTCTCTTTCTTTATTTATTTATTTCTTTCTTGACGTTCCATATTCGGCAGAATCGAGTCTCGTGCTAATTAGCGGAACGTCCAAGAGAAGATACAAACCGACTAGCGTTAGAAAACACTTTTATCGTCACGATAAAGGCCGAAGACTTGAGTCACCTAATCGAGAATTACAAAGAGAGAGAGAGAGAGAGAGAGAGAACAACAACTGTACGATTTATACGAGCTCTTAATTAACACGAGATCAAATCTTAATTAACTCATATAATTTTTATATATATATATATATAATAATGATCGCGTATATTAAATAAATTATTTGTTTATTTGTTTATTCAAACATTGACGGGAATTACTTATTTTAACATAACCAGAATAAATGTTGAAAGATAAAGATAATATAAATATATATAAATGTGAATACAAAATTAATGAAAATATAAAAGAAGAGAAAAAAGATACAAAAAAAAAATAGAATACATAAAAATAAATATAAATAAATAGATAATATATATATATATATACAGAAATATTAACAATAAATAATGGGACTATATATAAATACATTTACAAATTGAATAAAGATTTAAATATAAAATATACAATAATTAGCAATATAAAAACGATTAAAGAGAAAAAAAGAAAAATAAAGTTATATGATAACTTATATATTATATATATAACAATTATATTATATATATTGAGACAAAAGTTCTTTATTCTAAAGTTAAATCTTTAAATAAAGTTCTATCTTTTAATTGAAGTGTTTTTTAATTATTCATTAAGGAAACAAGTAAAAAAAGAAACAAATTTATTAGTCAAAGAATTGATTCACCATATTCAATTTTAAGAAAATAATATGTATTGTTTCGAACTTTTTAATTACTAAAGTGTACGGAGGAAACTTAACCAACGAAAATGATTTTTTGATGTATGATGACAATATGATCGAATAGAATGAATTATGAAGGGACAGGTTAACGATCAATCAAGATCGATTTGAAGTACTTACTATTTTTAGAATCTATTTTATCGAACTCGTGTTCGCGTATACCTCTCTAACTCTCGACTTTCCACGCATTGAAATCACTTTATATACCGAAATGAATTTATGAACGTGTAGACACAACACGTTCAATTGTCCTTTCCTCTTTCAACGAACGTTAATGCAGATAAATGGCCAACCACCCCACTATTTGAAATTTGAATAATTGATATTTCTCGACAACGATGAAAATCGATTCGATAATTAAACAAAATTGATTCCTTAACACGCGAAGCACAACAAACATTCAATTATCAAGAATACTTTTTATTTTTTTTTTTTATCAACGATAATCAAAAAATTCATAAGTACACTCAACCCTCTTAAAACTCGATAAAAAAAAAAGAAAGAAAACATTGACGATCTTCAAATGATACTAATTTTTACGTTATACCCTATTGTTACGTTTAAACAATAGATTTCGATGTATCACAGAACGAATTAATTTCTAAAGATATATATCGCGAATTGAAATATAATTTAATTATTTACTTGCAATTATATATAATTCACACGAAAAGTGATTCAGTCTTTTTCGTATTATGTTACTTTTTTTTCTCCGCATTTTTTTCTGTTTTTTTTTTTTTTTTTTCATGTACACGCATACAAACGCACAGGAAAGATAGGAGAACGGATGTATCGAATGTCGAGATCTTAACATCCCCTTTCAGCCCCGATCCCACCCTCAACCTTTGCTCGAAGATTTTTCGTAGCTCGGCGAACCCGCTGACCACTTTGCTGATATCCGATAACGTTCATGGAAGTCCTTATTATAGTGTAGACACCAAAGAACATGTTACTATCTCTCTTTCTCTCTCTCTCTCTCTCTCTCTCTCTCTCTCTCTCTCTCTCTCTCTCTCTCTCTCTTTCTCACGACTTTTTACGGATTCCTCTTTATTTCAACCGATGTGAAAAATTATTCTTCCCTTTTTCTTATTCTTTTTTCTTTTTTTTCTTGAGATCGCGTAAACCGAAACAACGAACGATGGTAAAAAAAAAAAAACCATAGAAAAAAGAATGAAAAATAAGGAATCAAATTATTTCTATCCGAAATATATCGTTCTTTTCCAATCTTCGATCTTTCATCATAATTTTTTTCCTTTCCCCCATATTTTTGTTCGTCTGAAAAAAATGGCTCCGTTCCCGAGATAAAAAAGAAAAAAAGGGAAAACAAGAAGAAGAAGAAGAAAAGAAACCATTTATTACGCTTTATTTTGAACGTTTGTTATAAATATAAAATACGTAATAATAATACGTTTTAAAGAAGGATGATATTAATCTGGCACGATGATATGTAAACATACGATAAAATATTATCGAAAAAATAATCTACGCAGATAAAAATTCGCGATTCAATAATATTCATATTTCTAGTATTATTGATTACTTCCTTCTTCAGATAAAAATCCAAAAAAAAGAACATTTTTATTTTTTAATGCAAACAATCGTGAAAAACGGTAAAGTTGTTGTAAAAAAGAAAAAAGAAGTCTAATTTATGCTTTTGATAGTTAAAATGATACAAATTACGAGTGTTATTGTGTATTATGTGAAATACGGTAAAAATGTTGTGAAAAAAAGAAGTCTAATTTATGCTTTTGATAGTTAAAATGATACAAATTACGACTGTTATTATCGATCAAAATATATTTTCTATCGATTACAAAGATATATTATATATATATCTATCTATCTTTCGGTTTTATTTGATAAAAAATAAATGGACAACCTTAACATCTCTTTGTATTCGTTTCTTCTTTTTTCTATACTTCCCATTTATACGTGGGCTTTGAGTTAACAGGTTAACTAATGCAAAGTATTATGTCGAAGACTATGGGTATCAGTCTTAACGGCACTTTCATTCGATCGGTACTATTTATTAGAAGTACGAACACACATTGAAATTATATACGGCGCCTACGATATCAAATATTCATTCTCTACTACTTATAATCGATGTGTCTCCTTAGATCTCGATTTAACATACGAGTTATCGATAATTTATCTAACTGCTACCATTAAATCGTTTAGTTTTAGCTTTTTTTTCTCCTTGTTTTTCCTTTTTTTTTACCCCTTTTTTCTATCGCTATTTTTTTGGTTCTTTTTTTTATACCGCGATCAGAAATAATCATTACTTGAGAAGTAAAACAGATAGAGAGAAAGAGAGAGAGAGAGAGAGAGAGAGAGAGAAAACGATAAATGCCAAGTAAGAAAACGGAAACACAATTTCAACCTTCGTTCAAATACATATTCAGTTGCACTGGCGCTTATAAGAACACCTACGGTCAAATAATTTTTAACATTTCCTTATCAAACTCCTCCATTTACCGGTTTAGTTATATTATTTGTTTATTTATAATACCTACGACCAGTTTTCGTTTATAACGAGAGTGTAAATATACCGTATGTATGTATGTATATATATATATATTAGGATAAATGATTTCAAAAATATATAAATCACAATATTTGTTACATATTCACATTGTGAATTACAATCCTGTTCAATAATAATTCGATATTTAACTCATTTTCTCTTTCTCTCTCTCTCTCTCTATGTCTGTTTATTTCTTTTAATTTTTTCAATCTCATTATTATCTACGAAGTGTATAAAATTATCGACGATAAAAATTAATTAATTATTAGAAATTTTCCCGCGCTAAATGATTCGTATAGACTGCGTCGATAAAACAGTTTGTTAATTCTCTATAGTTAACATTTTCTATTGCAATTATAAAAATAATTACATAATTGTAGAATTATCAAACATGAATAACTAATAAATACGAATGAACAATAAAATAATAATGAATTAATAAGATTTTAAATTGAATTTATACAATGTATCTACGCCATATTGAAAAAAGAAATAAAAATGAAACAAGCATAAAATTAGGCATAAAACAATATCGAGAAGTATCGGTAGAGTGAATTTATTATTTCACACTCGACTATGAAGGGTTTAAATGAGGTAAAAAAAAAAAAAAAAAGAAAAGAAATGAATAAAAATAAATAAAGTAAAATAAAAAAGAAGACTTACCGGACTTGCCGACTCTGGGGCCGCCGAGGACGACCACCCTGATCCTATTGACGTTTGTCATGGGACAAACTTGGTGTGTCGTTACGTGTCGTTGCTTGATTCTCTTTTACGGCACATCATCCAGCGTGGAATAAACACGAATTCTTTTCCTCACTCAACTTAACTGAACTGAACTAAACTAAACGTAAACGAAGATGATAATCCAACAAGAGAAAAAGAAAAAAAAAAAAAACTAGAAACAAGTAAACCAACCCGACACGGGGGAATGAAAAATTCGTTGAACTTGCGAATACGCGTTAAAAAGTAATATAACAAAATAATGTTCAAACGAATAGTGTAACAAAATATATATATATATATATATAGATTGAACAAAATAATAATATTAATAATAATACAATTTTAACTCGTTCTTTTCACTTTTCACTGGAACTCTGTTACTCTGACGTATAATAAAAAATGATCGAATAATTTCATGTTTTATAAGAGTGTGTTAGTGAGTGAGAGAGAGAGAGTAAAGGGGGGGGAAGAAAAATTAGGAAAAATAATTCTTCTCCTGGTCTTCTTTCCTCGCGATCGGCCAGGACACTGACCCACTTGCTCGCGCGCGAAAGGTCCGTCCTCGTCCTCGTCCTCCTCTCTCCCCACCTTCCTTCCTTCCTTCCTTCCTTCCTTTCTTCCTTCCTTCCTTCCTTCCTTAATTCACTTCACTTTTTCTTCTTCTTCTTCTTGAACAGCAATTGCTTTCGTTCTTGCTTGACGCCACCGATATATCGTCAACGATGTTTTGCGAATACACTCGATGTAATCCTTCAACAACCAACAACAACAACAACTTTTTCTTAATCTTTTTTTTCCATTCAATAATAGTTCTCACTTCACGATTTGCAAAACAACAGTCAATCGTTTAAAAAAAAACACTAAACGATATCGGACTAACGTTAAAGAACTTTATACGGTTTAGTATAAAATTCGATAAATCGATTATCGAATAAACCGCGCGAACTTTGTGCAACGTTTTTTAAAACAACAAATTCGCGGGAAATTCGAACGGGGACCGTCGTTTCCGTTGTTTTCGTTCTCTTCTCTTTTTCGAATAATATTTTCGTCGATCGATCGAAGATTTCTTCTCGGACGAAAGTTTTAGCTCCTATCCGACGATCATCATCGGTATCATCAATTCGCGAGCTACAACAACTGCTTGCTTCATCTCGTCATCGTTTGGAAAGTGTCGCGGTAGCAGCAGCAACAGCAACAGCACAACACACCACCAACGAGCCTGAAAATACGAGAGGAATCTCGATAATGGAGGCAAACTTCGTCGTTCGTCACGCCGTCGAGGCGCCACTCGCTGCCGGACCCGTCCGGTTTCTCTCCTTCTCTCTCTCTCTCTCTCTCTCTCTATCTATCTATCTATCTATCTCTTTCCTTCTTTCTATCTTTCTCTTTTTTAAATCGACGCGTTGAGAATAATAACAACAGAATGAAAGTTTCGTGATATTTCTTATTACCAACGTATAATATTACGTACTACGAATTAATGTCCGTCTGTCTGTCTGTCTGTCTATCTTTTAACCTCACACACACACACACACTAACTCATTCACTCTCTCTCTCTCTCTCTCTCTCTATTTTTCTATACAATGAAAAATAGATTATATTCAATTTTCGTTACGTTAATAATTCGCGCGAGTAGGATGACAACGGCCGCCAATCGTAGAATGCGTGTACCCCCTTTGCGATTTCGAATAAAACGTGCTACTAAAAACCCCCCCCGAACGTGTAACGATCATACGAACGAACGATACATCCTCCTCTCGCGACAACCGGACGAGTACTGAACGGTGTTCGAGACTCGCGCGCTCTTCTTATCCCCTCCCCACTTACCCGACCACCACGAACTCGAACGAATTATCACGCTCTCTGTGGTGTGGCGCGACGTTCGAAACTCCCGCTCTCGATAACATTATCCCCACCACCACCATCCACTATTATTCTATACATCTCTTTTTACTTGTCCAAGAAAATAATGAATGTTTATCTTAAAAAATAAAAAAATAAAAAAGATCGATCGATCGATCGTTCTTATTTCTCAAAGGAGAAATTTCATTTTTAACTTTTTTCGTTCGATTTAATTTCGCGATAGAATATAAGAAAAATATAATAATAATATGATCTTAATAGCTTTATATACGAATACGACGATAGTTAAAATGAGATCTTCGAACAAACGACGATATGCCTCTTCCCCCCAACCCTTCCCCAATCACGTCCAGGAAATTAGTCGCGCGCCTCCGTGCGACGCTTATTATTTTTTTTCTTCGCTTTCCCGAGAGAGATGAAACCAATGATGATAATGATAATGATGATGATAGCCCTTAATGGTAATAGTGATTTAAAGGGTAAATCGTGGAGAGGCGTGACGCATCCGGACTCGAATTATCGTTTATGCATCGTCGCCGTGCCGTTGCCAGCAAGAGTCATCATCGTTTCTCTCTTCGTCTTCTTTCATCGTTGTGTCGTATTCGTCTTTTAGTCTTCTTCGTCTTCGTCATAGTTGTCATAGTAGTAGTAATAGTAGTAGTAGTAGTAATAGTAATAGTAGAAGAGAATTTCGTCCGTTGGCTTTTCTCGAAACGAGCGGGTTTACGACACGGACGACGGTTTAGAAACGGATCGTTCTAAATTAACCAAATAGATGGTTCGTACGGTCGAGTTTAAAACGAACATTTGGAAAATGACGGTAATAAATACAACCTGAGCCTTTATCTAATTCGTTCTAACGTAAAATACACGGTTAAAAAAAAAAAGAAAAAAAATCAAAAAGAAAAAGAAGAAAGGAAAAAAAAATAATTAAAAAATAGTATCTCGTAAGCGGAGAGATAGTTAATCGTTCGTTGATATTATAACTAGTAAATTATTTAAATCGCTTTATTTTAAAAGAGAGCATATATCGAACCGAGTGGCACGGAAGTCGAGGCACCATCGCCCACGTGTTCTTTGCGATTTGCATGGCTTACAGCTTAAAAGTTATGAGATCATTATGGGACAACGTCCGTATACTCGAGACTCTCGTCGTCGTCGTCGTCGTCGTCGTCCTCGTCGTCTCTAATAAGGATATGAAAAAAAATCAATGATCAAAGAAAAACGAGTATGAGAAAAGTGATTTTAGTAAGAATGAATGAACGAACGTACGAAAGTACGAACGAACGAACGAAAGAACACAAACGTTTTGAGAAAATAAGAATAAGGAAAAAAATTCATCGTACTCGGCTAACCAATCGAATATATATATACGTTTGCGTATATGTATATCGGAAAAATAAAGTCAACTTAAATAATACTCGCGTCTCTCGGAGATAACAGTGAAACATGAAAAAAAAATGCGAAGAAGAAGAAGAAATAAACGATCTTTAAATACCAAAATACGTCCTATTCTATAGGAGCTTGCTTGCTCGCACCTGTTTCCGTCAAATTCCACACATTTGATCTCTCGCGATTAAACGAAAGAATACAAAAAAAAAAAAGAAAAAGAAAGAAAGAAAGAAAACCTTCCGTAGATTAGATAACGTTAAAAAAGAATGAAAATTTATTGCTATTCTCGTTGAAGAATAAGGAAAGAAGATAGAACAGAGAGAGAGAGAGAGAAAAGAATAATGAAAGAGTGAATAAGAAGAACGAAAGAACAAAAAAAATATCATCGAATTCCAACGTTCTCCTTCGTGGACAATAAATTATCGATTATCACCGAACGCGATATTCGGTTTGGAGTATTCGCTACGCACGTATCGATACAAAAGTTTATTTACCGGACGATTTCAAAAACTCGCACTCGCATACGACTGCATTTTACCCGGCTATAAATATAAACTTCTACTACAAGCGGGTATAAAAATTTCACGCGTTCGCTCCGAGCGAAACTTTGAATAAACAAGAAAACAAGCAAGAAAGCAAGTAAGCAGCAAGTATAAGCGCAGCAAGTTACAAAACAAAAAAAAGGTAGTGCTAACTTATTCGCATAAAAGATCCTTCCGAGTTCGTGTTGTTTGTCCGACGAGAGATCATCCCGATTTTGCATCCGACGCGTGAAGAAATGTGCTTGCTCGTACGAATGACGTAATTTCTTTCGGCGTGTCAACGATATCAAGGAATAAAAAAAAAAAGAAAAGAAGAAAAAAAAGAATTTCAAACGTGAGACGCGAGGTAGAAAACAAAGAAGCGAAAGAAAAGAAAAAGAAAAAGAAATAGACAAAAAAGAATAGGGGGGAGAGAGAGAGAGACAGAGATGATAAAGATATTAAATTCTAACTTTACCTATCATCGTCATCGTCATCGTCACCATCATCATCCGGGACGGCCTCGAGAAGGTCGAACACTCGCAACACGATAAAAAGCAAACAATTTGAATCCCACTAAAAACGTGACGTTTGTTTGTACAACGGGTAGGTAGTTAGGTTTATACGATCTCGTTAAACGATATCGATGACGATTATCATGAGAAAAGAAAAGAAAGAGAGAAAGAGAAAGAGAGAGAATAATAATAATCAATATTAAATTACCTGATAAATTGAGATCACGAGTGCAACAACAACAACAAAATGATCACTCCAAAATATTCTTATTTAAAAATGAATACACACACTGACGCGAACGAACGATTAAATTCATTCAAATGTGTACCTTATCTCAAAACACACTCACACACACGTACACAGATAGAAGAATTTTCCAACAAAAATTCTAACATAATATATAATTGAAATTCTTGAATGATTCGAACAAATTACATACATAAATACATTACATACATACATACACACACATATATATATATGTATATATATAATATATGAATCACGAGAAAGAGACACGCACGCGCGTATTCGAAACGTTCGCGCCGAACGTTCGTCGGCGAATGCTCGTAACTGGAACGTCTCCGGCCTTCTAATATATATACCTAATATATATATATATATATATATACATATACATATCTATATATATATATAGATATATGCGTTCTCTCGAGGGCCCGGCTGCGCACGGGTTTGCCCGGCGCTGCCTTAGTCCGTCGTGCACTACAAGGTGACTGCCGTGTTAACAGGTAAGCACGGTCCGATGCGTCGAGAGAATCGTGTCTTGCTATGCTGTACTATTCCTCTCTACTCTTATTCTCTGTTGCACTCTCTAACACGATCAGGGATGGAAGGGGAGGAGGAGGAGGAGGAGGAGGAGGAGGAGGAGGAGGAGGAAGGGGGATATACCTCTTCTATGCGTTCCTTTATTCCAATACGTATTACGATAAAAGATTGTAATATACCTTCTCTATCCGTATCCGTAAATTTGATATACATTAGAGACGTTTTTTTTGTTTTTTTTTTTAATATTTAATATTATTAGTGTGGTATTAGAAAAAAAGAAAAAATAATAAATTGATTTTTATCTAATTTTTATATAAGATAAATTTTTGAAATAATATTCCCGTGTTTTGAGGTACTGATATATTTTGATATTTAATTTGAAAGTTTTTATTTATGATAATTTGAATATATTTGCAATTGAAAGTAAATAACGATTATTTCAAATATATAGTGATAGAGAAGAGGTAAGAATTAATTTTGAGGCTCGTTGTACGCGTTTATCATATATACGTGCCGGTAATTATGACAATTAACAGAATCAATATAATTGCAAAATTTCGTTTAGCTTGTTATTATCATGATTATCGCGATGCTTATTGATTGTTTTTAAAATTGATCATTAACGGTGATAATATTCATGCAATATTTCTTCTAATATTCAAACAACACAGATCGATCTATCTATTTAAACATATACATATACACATATATTTGTTATTATTGATATTAAGGATAGTTCTGATAACTCCTGATAATAATATTCGTGCAATGTCCTGTAACAGACAAATTACAGAAAAAGAAAGATAGAAAGAGAGAGAGAGAGAGAGAGAGAGAATGAGAGGGGGGAAAGATCACCTATGTCCTTTTCACGAACATTTCTCGATGTATTAGTTAATATAAATCTTGTTCGTTGTTATGGACAGAGTTAGATCGTGTGTGGTTGAACATAGTTGAAAGGCACACGCTTCCTCCCCCCCCCCTTCCCCTTAAGGGACGTTCTCTATGTATATACGGTAAATTGTGTACTTCCCTCGACACGGTCGAATCATAAGTTTATAAATCTTAGCTCGCTAATAAATCATACGAGTTTATGATCCTCCGTGTTAACGTGCAACCGCGACCCCATGAACCATACAGATGCGTATTTCCCTCTATGGTGTATTGCGTGAGTTGGCTATTCCATCGAGAATAACCTAAGCTCTCGATGCTTTATTATTTCGTATAAGAAGGTATAAACCTTCCAATAAGACGGACTACGTCTAAATGTAAGTATTATAATACGTACATATAGTAATCAACGGTAACTTGATAATCGTGTAAACCAAAATTTAATATCCAAAATCTTATTGCATGAATTTTTAATCAAATCTAATTTTTTACTCTTAAAAAAGAAGAAGAAGAAGAAAGTTTTTTGGTCAAGAGAACACGAACGAAAGAACGAATGAACAAAAATAAATATGATTTTTTTGACGAGACCGTAAGTACGAGTAGAAGAAGAAAAAAAAACATAGTTTATTTTTGTCCCATAGAGACGTTTCGAATTTTGTTTTAGTTAACCCCCACCCATCGTTAGATACTTTACGAGTAAATAATTTATAAATAAACCGTAAAAAGTAGATCGATTGATCTTTGTTGTTCATTGTTGTATGTTAATTTTCATAGATTTAGTATGCACGTGTGATTGCGTGTGTGTGTCTACGTACGTCAACGAAAAGTGTACAAGAGAACGTTGAGATTTGAACTTTATTTTTTACGACACGAGATTTGTTTAGATAAAAGCAAACAAACGTTTCCGTGTTATTTTTTTCTTGTTATGTAATCTTAGGTCAAAAATGGATAAAGATCGAATCTATGTTAAAATGTGTGTGTTAGAGAGAGAGAATGATATAATGAAAAAAAAATAATAAAAACACGAGTATTTGAAAGAGAATAGAAGAAGAAATAAAAGGGCCAATTTGTTTTTTCATTGACACATGATTGCGTGCTGAAATAAATTGAAGATTATATTTTTTAGTTATAATGTTAATTTAATATATGTTTCGTTTAAAAATTCTTGTCCCGTTGTTATTATACAACGTTATATTTTTTACTTTAACGATCGTTGTTTCCCAATATATGTATGTATGTATGTATGCAGAGATTCCTGTTATTTCGATCTATAGTTTTCCATGGTGTTACAACTCGTTACCCTAACGACGGATGAAAACAAAATCAAGCATTAGAAAGATAAGTCATTCGTTACGAATTCGATGATTGTGGTTGTTTTTTAAACATGTCCGACAAAGAAACGAATCTAATTAATTTAGCAAATAAAGAGAACAAAACTTTATTGGAAAGGTATCAAATACCTTTGGAAAATCTTTCGTACGAATATATCGCAGGATGTACAAATTCAACAACGTTGGAACATATTGTTACAATACTCAGGTTTGTGTCATAATTTATATATATATATATAACCTAAATAAGATATTATTATTGAAACATTTGTTTTTTTTTTATACATTTGTTTTCGTTAATAATAAATATTAGATCCGGAGAAGAAGGGATTTATCCAGAATTAACGAAATATGCAGAAGAACGTTTGAGAATAATAAAACCAACGAGTTTAATATTATCGAAAGCTTCAGCAGTTCTCACTCGTCAAATGTTAAATAAGGAAGAACAGAATGTAATCAATGATTTTATGAAAAATTGGACCGATGAAATGCGTTGTAAAGAAAAAATGTTAAACGATGAAAAAACAAATCTAATAACGGATTCTTCTCTTGTACCAAACATCAGATCGGATTGTCAAAATAATTTGGTAGAGATATCATTTAAAATAATATAAAAAATCATTTTTTTATTACGTATACGTGTGTGTGTTATTTGCAATTGATAATAATAATTTTGTTTTCTTTTTTTTTCTTTTTTTTTTTTCATAGAAAGAATGTACGAATACATATTACGACGGTAATAAAAAATCTAAACGAATAACATCTTGCGATTATGCTGCTTGGGACAAATACGATGTTGATACCGAAATAAACAGGATAGATTTGCAAGAGGAAAGACAATTAATTTTAGCCAAGGAGATGCAACGAGAACAAAATGAGAGGGAAAAGAAAATAAATGAACCATTGGATATAAAAGAATTTATGAAACGTAAGAGAACGAATGATCAATTAATTTATATAATACTCTAAGAGTATGTTATTTCGTAATAATATTCATAAATATTATTTACGAGATTACTCAATAATTAAAAATCTTTTTTAGTCGAATATTTTTATGACAATTATTTTTTATTGTTAGATCAACTTACATATGAAGAAGTGAATATGATCGTTGATCGAGAAATAATAAAAGGAAATGAGTTTTATAAAATTGGTGATTACGATACAGCATTAAAATATTACGATTTCTGTTTTTCTGCAAATTCATGCTCGCAAGCTTTAAGTAATCGAGCTACCACATGTAAGAAAATCATCGAATATATAATTAAACTAAATTTAAGTTGTAATAAATATAAAAGATAAAAAAATAAAAATACATTTAATTTGTTATATATTCAGATTATAAGTTACAGCGTTACGAAGATGCAATCAAGGATGATAGTATTTTGATTTTGGAGAATAATCAAAATTTTGGATCATTATGTAGACGGGGATTATGTTTCTTAAATCTGGAAAAGTTAAATGAAGTACGTAATATTTACAATGATTAACTTATAATATAAATTATCGTGATTTATATCTCGCATAATGAATCAATCTCTTTTGTAACAAATTTTATTATCTTTGATATCTAATGTGCACTTATCCATATATGAATGTGTAGGAAAGAATTAAATCTTAGATAATAACGAACTATAGTTAAATAATGATAATCTAAATAATGAATAAAATTATAAAACAATATATGAATTTTACATATATATAAATAACAGGCTGTAGCCGATTTTGAGAGAGCTTTGGAGATAAAACCTGATTGTACTGAAATCAAATGTAAATACGAAAAATTAAAAAATCGTATTGAGTTGGAGAAATTAAAGTAAGTAATAACGAATGTTATTCCAATTTATCGTATTGATTCTCGTTTACTATGTAATTTAGAAACCAAAACGAAGAAATAACATCGTCAGATTCAAGTGCGAAAGTTATCGATCCTTCTCTTGTACCAAACAACAAACAGGAAAACATTAATTTGATAAACAATGAAGAGAACAAAATTCAATCTAAAAAGATACAAGGAAGACAACATGAAATAACACAAACAACGACGAAATCTTTCAACAAATGTTAGAACAAATGATGATCAATTTATTTATACTTAAATGTATTTCTAAGTATTATTGTTTATTAATTTAAAAAAAGAGCTTTAGTAAATAGCAACGCAAAATAATTCATAAATATTATTTATGATTACCCCAGTGAGTAAAATCTTTGGTAATCGAATACTCATCAAAATTCATTATTTTTTCGTTAGCTAAACAGATAGATTTGATCGTTAAAGAGGAAATAAAGAAAGGTGATGAATTTTACAACTCGGGTGATTACAATAAATCATTGAAACATTACGATTTTTGTATTCA